CTCACACTCTGATTCCATCCCACAGGGAAAGGTGAGTGTAGCATGGAAACCTCAGTAATACCAAAGGACATGGAACCTGAGTGGTGTCAGGACAGTTGCAATAATCTTTCATGTATATTAATAGTATATACTTATTGCCTAAGTATTGGGTGTAGCTCAAAATGGTAGACAATGCACACTGGTACTTGGTAAAGATATAGTTTCTCCAGGAGGGACGGACCCATACCTTGAAATGATTTTTCATATGAAAGTTGCCCAATGGCAACATTTTCCCTTTCCTTCTAGGCTTTCCTGGAGAGTAATTTTAGAAAGCATTCTATATGAGAGTTGCCTTTGGCACAGAAGGCTACAGTTGGTGGTGATCATTATTTTTGTCATTATTATTATGCCATTTATTTTATTGAGATCTACCCCACATTATGCTGTGTACTTTTTATAGCTTATTTCAGGTAATTACCGTAACAGCTCTGTGAGATTGATGTTATTGTTCCCATTTTATAAATGAGGACATTGAGATTCTGAAGGGTTCAGAGAATTCTCCAGGGAGTAACACAATCAGCAGGCATCAAAGTCATGTCTGCCTCCTCCCCCTTGCCTCCCTTGTGTTCTAGCTTAATTCTAATTATATAACAGGCATAGGAAACTGGTCAGCATAAACCTGCAGCAGTTACCATTCCATAAATGGTCAGAGTAAATATTTAGACTTTGTGAGCAGTCATTCCACTCTGCCATTGTAACAGAGAAGCAGCCTGAGACAATACAGAAATGAATAGGCAAGACTAGGTTCCAATAAAACTTTGTTTACAAAAACAGATCCAAGGTCAGATTTGGCCCTGGGACTCTGGTTAGTCCTCCCTGGTCTACAATAAGAACCCGTAGGAGGAGTGCTTATAGAACTTAGAAGAACAAGAACATGATAACAAATGACTAAAGGTTTCCTCTAGTACTTAAATCTTGTCAGAAATATCAGACAAACCATTTAAAAAAAAAAAAGTCTAGTTATTCTGAGAGACAAAACAGGAAAATGTAAAATGAATATAAAATAAATATGAAAGTAATTCCTATGTGCTAAAGCATCTCAGACAAATTAGGTGCAAACTAGGTTTTAGAGGCAGGTAGGGAGTGAAAAGGATGAAAGAAGAAAAGGTATGCTTCTCAACCTAGCTTTCTGAAATGTACATAACATAGAAGGAATAAAGAGAGACTTGGGAAGCACCATGCAGCTGTAGCTAATAAGCAAAGGCATTTTTGTGCTTAAACAAAAAAGGACACCATTAAGTAAAATTTCATGCTCCCCAGAGATAAAATAAATGTCATCACCCAAACTATCAAACTGATAAGACTAAATTATTGATCACCCTCTGAAAGTGCTCATTTGAAATGTTCAGTGGGTTAAGATAATAATCCAATCCATTTCCCAGTCTGTCCCCCTCCACTCTTCTATCTCTGCTCTGATTTCAGCTCTGAATTGTAAAGCAGGACATGGTTTTATCTAGAGCTTCTCTCACTCTGCATACCCAGCACTCTCCATAAGCCAGGGCCTGAAGCCTAGAAAATCATCTGGCAAAGGCAAGTAGGCTCAGTGCCATTTTTTCTGCAAAGTAATTTTCAAATGGAAATTGGATGCAGTTGCATTATGGGGCTTAACTTCCCTCTGCTTGAAGTACAGGACTTAGTGGGCTGTGAATCCCAGCGTCATGCAATGCAAACATTTTGGTCGCTGGTCCTCTGGTAGTGAGGAATTTCTGCTTGCAGGAATATTGGGAGCTGGCATCAGGAAAGGGGTGCAGAGCGTGGGAGCATCAAATGATCCCCATCCCTAGCTCAATGATGACTGATTTGGGAGCTCTGGACTAATATCTTAGTGAAGTCAGACCAAAAAGGAGATAAAAATAACTGTAAAGCAAAGAATATTATCTCCACCCAAAGAAAAGATGATTGATTCGGCTATCAAGTTAATGAGGCAATCAAGTCAAAATGGTCTGCCTCCCTGGGCTTACTGAATCTCCTCTTATGTTCCAACCAGCCTGGGTTCCCCTACCTTGGCCCTGAGCTGTGACTCAGATATTCATTTTCTCTTAGCATTCTGCTTTTAAGTCACATTATCTTTCTCAATCAGATTTTACCTTAGAATCTTAAGTTAATCTCCTATAGAGCTTTGTATTTAATTATACCAAAATTGAGTTTCCTGACCATGGTTCCAGAATCTCAGGCCCTTTTCTTTCTAGCTACAGGTCACAGCAAGGCTCTCACTCTGCCCAGATCCTTCAGCTAACACACTGAGCACAGGGCAGCTCTTCCCATGACACCCGCTGCTGGCTGTCTATGGTTTCTGAGAACTGGAAACACACTGGTCTGGGTCAAGACCATTACAAAAGTAAGATACACATCAAATTTCAAAGACTGCACAAATATAGCATGGAAAAGAATGTGCCTATCTGATTCATAGTTGTTATGTGGATTACATGCAAAAAAGATAATGTTTAGGATATACTGGTTCAATTAAAATATTAAATGAACATCACCTGATGCCTTTAACTTCTAAAGTATGACTCCCAGAAAATTTAAAATTATATCTGAGGCTCATATTTCTGGTGGGTGCTGCTAACCTAGAGTTGGTGAATTTAGAGTAAGTGAGCAGAGCATCCCCTCTGATATAGGGGATCATGATAATTCATCCAGAACAAGCTCTAAAGGAGATAGTCTTCACTTAAGGGAAGGAATTTTGAGCTATTGTCAAAATTTCCCCCTTTTCTGTCCTTGTTAAAAATGGAATTATTTTTAAAATGATTTATAAAACATTTGCTGTGGGTTTACCATTCCTATCTTTAAGGGCAGTGTTTTACTTTTTAGACTCAGGCCCAATTCTATATTGGAATTCCTGCAACTATGAAGAAATGGCCTATAAAGAGCTCCATCCCTGAATTCACAGCTCATAAAACAGTGCCTGGCACTTAGGACTTCAGGATAAATATTCATTAAATGTTATATACTAAATGGATTGAAGTTTGCTCTTATTGGGTGTCAGTAGATACTTTGCTTGCAGTGTCAAAACTATGCCACAGCATACTTTTAAAATGCAAAATAAAATTTTATTATCACCACTGAACTTAGAAAAATAAATTCAAGCATTTTTAAGGACACCGGTTTTATTCTTGTGATGAGGTCGGGATAGGATGGGATCTTTTCGAAGAAGATAGTGGCCGATGGGTCACTGTTCCTTGTCATTGATGGGATGGCTCTGGACCTTTCAGGTATGAAAGGCTAAGAGTAAGCATTTAAGTTCAGGTCACTAAGTACTATTGTGTTGTCAGAAAAGTCATAGAAAAAATATGTCATGGGGCTTCCCTGGTGGTGCAAGGGGTTAAGACACTACCTATAAAGCTGTCCGCAGTCGCTGCAGCCTGAGTTTGATCCCCCACCAGGGAGCTTCCCACATGGCACAGCAAACCTCTCCTGTCTTGCCTGCTGCTCCCCTCAGCAGTGTATTTCAGCAGATCTGCCTGTTCTGTTCCCCACTCTGTCTCTGGTGAATTCTCTCATCCCCCACACTTCTGGCCTATACCCCAGTTCTTATATGCATAAATAAATAAATCCTTAAAAAAAAAAAAAGGAAAAAATAGTTCATGAAAGAAAAATTATATCATGACTTTTTCCTACAACCCCATATATATAAATGAGATCCTCCTGCCCACTCTAAATTCTGTTCCCATTCAGGTCCAGCTTCGTGGGCACAGGCATACAACCCGTGCTTTTTCTTGGGGCAGGGCCTCAGAAGAGTACTCTGCTTGATTTAACCATATGCTGTCACTGTCTTGAAAATCCCAATAATTTTATCTTTAATTTTGTGTTTAAGAAATGGATTTGGTGGGACAATGGCGCCTGTCCTGTGGCAGGCACACCACTCATGGTCTCCCATTGATTTGCAATATTCATGATGTCCTGTGAGCCCAGAATTCCAGTTGATCCATAATCTGTGGGAGTTTAGCAAGACTCAAGGTGAGTACAAGATAAGTGCATCAGGTCTCTGATGGTGTAAAGAGGGATGCTGGCAGCTCCAAAGGCCATCCTTTCTGTTTGAGAAAGAGCTTGCTGCTAATGAAGAAAGTGACAGAATTCTAAGAAATACCAGCAACTAAGGAACCCTGTCATATCCTTTCCACTCGAGTTAGTTGCCATTATTAGTAACCACTTATACTGAGAATGATGACATAGGAAGAAAGAAAGATAGAGCCATCCAGAGATCCTTTTCCTTTCGTCTTTTCTTACTGCTGTTAGCTGAAGGTAGAGTGTTATTGGTAGGATGTGTGCATATCAAGAAATGAAATAAAAGCAGCTGAGTTAATTTTGAGCTGAATGCCCTGCAGGAGCACACCTGCAAATTAACAAGTTCGTTTTCTTTTTCACTGCAGTGAGGAATTCCCCTTGTTCATGGGAATCATGGGCAGTCTTAGTAAGAGGGTGTTAGAACGGGATTAGGACTTTGGTTGGGTGATTTGGGGAGGATCTAAGAACCAGAGGTTGGATCTAGCTGGGCTTTGTCAGAGACCAAAGGCTCTTCTATGAATGGATATCTCAGTAGACTTTATCTGTAGGAGGGGCATACTACAGAGGTTGTATATGCCCAACAGGAGTACTCAGGTCTTCACCATGTGGGATCAGTTTGCGATAACACCAAGAGCAAGTTGTAAACCTCAAACCCAGTTCCCAGTGATCCAGGGCTTTTTTTTCACTGTTAAGGGAAAAAGAAAAGCCCCATATGAATGTATAAGCTATGAAATACAAATTATGGAATCTCAGTGATTGTGTGAAAGCAACAAGCTACTATTTGTATTTAAATCCGGCATTGCACGGTTAAAGAACACTGAAACTCATGCTAATAATTTAAATTTTTAATTTTACTTAGATCAACATTAAACAGCAAATAAAAAAGCCTCATGAGAAGCCAAGAGATTGTGCAAGAAAAGAAAAAGCAAAAGCTTTACATTTCAGTACTTTTAGGACACTTTTTTCTGCCTTTTTGAACAAGGGGCCCTGCACTTTCACTTTACACCAGCTCCCACACATCATGTAACTGGCGCTGTTTCCAGTTCTTTTTTTTTTTCTTTTAACACTGGCAGTGCCCTAAAGAGAAATTCTTAAATCTCCTGATTTTTCGTTGTTCTTAATTGTTCTGTGTTTCCTAAGTCAACACATATCATAGGTTTTCAAATCCCTGTGCATTCCTTTGTAGGTTTGAACTTCGGTTGACTGGAGGAGAGCCTGCTGGTCTCCTCATCTTAAGTCTTTTTCCTGAGGTGCAAGCAGGAGCGGTCAGAAGATGATGGAAGGTATATCCCCTTCAGGTTGACCTTGATCAAAAACAACCAGTTATTCCAACAGTAAGTTTTATTCTGAAACAAAACAACAGCAGAGAGGGCAGATCAGAGAGTGCATTCCTAGTGATACCCCTGGGCACTTGCACAAAGCCAAGGGTAACAGCCCGCTATGTATAACCTCTGCAGACCACTGCTCAGTGCCACTCTTACTGGGAATCGGCCTAAGTTATACTACAGATGCCAATGAACAGGGATAGGAGTTGGATCAATAAGCACTTCTATTTTTCAGGTTGCTGACAATTGATCTGAGAAAGCAGTGGGCATAGCACCCTGAAGTGACTGTTCTGCCATCTCATCTCAAACTGCCCTTTTTAAAAAATTTATAAAAGAACTGGGGTACAGTCAGAGGCACGGGAGGATTCACCAGAGACAGAGAGGGGAACAGAGCAGGCAGATGGACCAGGGACACTGCTGGGGGGAGCGGTGGGCGGGGCAGGAGAGGTTTGCTGCACCAGGAATCGAACCCGCGCTGCAGGGGCTGCAGACGGTATCATGGCGCGGTGCTCAGCCCACTGTGCCAGCTGGGAGGCCCCTCAAACTGGCCTTTTGTAGGGTAAGTAAAGTATCACACTTTCCTGCTCTCTCACAATTAGATTAAATGCATGCCTGATGGTGGACACCTGGAGTAGGGTGTGGGCATGCGTAGGGGAATATACCTGGACTAAGATGGGTATTAATTGGAGAGACACCAGAAGAGAACAAGAGAGAGACCAGAAGGAAGCAAACCAGGGCCTCCCCTGGTGGCTCAGGTGGTTGAGAGCAGCGCTGTGAAGCTGTCTGCAGCCTCTGCAGTGCTGGTTCGAATCCCAGCCTGCCAGGGAGAGGCCCACATGGTGCAGCTGACCTCGCCTGTCTCACCCACTGCTCCCCTCAGCAGTGTATTTTAGTCTGCCTGTTCTGTTACCCACTCTGTCTCGGGTGAATCCTCTCACCCGCCTGTGCATCTGGCCTGTACCCCAGTTCTTTTATGCATGAATAAATCTTAAAAATCAATTAAAAAAAAAAACACAGCAGAGAAGCAGCGTCCACAAGAGAATGCTGGAGAGCCCAGAAAGAGTGAAGATTCACTGGGGGCTAGGAGGCCTTCCAGCCTCCTGGCCCCCCGGAACCCCTGCATGCTGTGTACCTGGTAAACTCAATAAAAGCCTAAAAAAGCCACCAAGGGCTCCAGGACGACTCCTTCAACTGTCTGATTGGATCATAGAAAACCTGCCCTGTGCCCTTCCTGGCACTACACCATTTTATGAGTTAAACAAAGACAGTGTAGGGGCAGGAAGACAAAGTGCAGGTTCTCTATTATCTGAGCAGACAAGTAAAGGGGAGTCCTGGAGCCCTTGGTGGCTTTTCAGGCTTTTATTGAGATTTTACCATGTACATGGCAGGAAGGGGTGCCGGGGGGCTGGCAGGCCTCCCAGCCAGTGGCAAGTCTTTACTCTTTCTGGGCTCTCTGGCATTCTCTCATTCTTCTCGTTCTCTCTGCTCATTTCTTCCACCACTGCTACTCTTGCTCTTTCTCATTCTGTTGGCGTCCCTGTGATGCTGCCCTTATAAGTCCATTGTCAGCCCAGGTGTGCCCACCTATCCATGCCCACACCCTATTCCAGGTGTCTGCCATCAGGCATGCATGTAGGATCACAGGGATCCATCATTAATGCTAATGGCGGGAGGGCAGAAAAGCCTGATAATTTTTCACTTACCCTACAGCGAATCATAAGCAAACAGCCCATCAGAACAGCCCATCACAGTGGATGTTTCTGGTGTTCATCACCTTCAGCCCCCAGAAATTGTTGTCAGCCTCCCAGTTATCTCAACCCTGGAACATCCGGTGGCGTCAATGTCCAGCACTCCTTCGGGCATCAATGGAACAGGATTCTCAGTTTAAAACAAGAGTTTTAAAGAAAATAATCTTCAGTGATAGGGTGTGTACATGCAGCCCATGCTGTGTGGGGTGCCCCCTGCCCTCCTCCCTAGCTCCCTGTCATCACCAGAAGGGGAAACAGAAGCATTTGCCCTGAGAGATGCAAAGCATGTTCAGTTCTTTAGCTTGTGGCTTTGAGCATGTGTGGGAACTCTCTGTCTAGCCTCCCAACCTCATTTCAATACTATCTGAATATTAACATTCACAGATCTTTATCTTTGACCTCCGCTGGTGAGAGGATTGTCCTGTCATTACTGTGCTTTTCTGTTTCGGGGTTTCTTTTTCTGAGCCAAAGATATCCAAGTTTCCACTCACTCTTCTGATCAATATCTTATTTATAAACAATTTTCTAGCCCTATCTCCAGTTGCCCTAAGAACCCCCTAGCCACAACTTCCAATTACATTTGTCTGATACAAATTTATAGTGAATCTATTTCTTAGAAAGGCCTTTCCCTATCCCTTACACAGACTATAGCTTTACAAAATAATTTACAGGAAGATAGTGTAACAGAGATTTAAAGTGACTTATGCCACACCAGATGAGACCAAACAGATAAACTGCATTTGAAAAATTCAGAGCTTTTGGCTCTCTCTTCCTTTCTTTTTCTTAACAGAAATATCTGCTACTCTTAAATCTAGGTATTAGAAGGCCTTTGCCCCATGCACAAAGTGTCAATAGAAGATAGGATTAAAACCTTGCCCAGTTTTGTGGTCCAGTACCTGCTCTGGCTTATCCTTATGGTTCAATATAATTCGCTTGAGAAACACCAGGGTCTTGATAAAAACATCAACAACCTATGGTTTGGGGTGAAGTGGACAAAGGAAGAAATAATGGTAACCATTACCCATACCTAATCTCTGCCCCCTTCATCCACCCTCCTGGGGTGGATGTGCCTGACAGCACACGTGGTCTTTATCATTGCTATTCTAGATGGGAGGCACATGTCTTGTTGGCTCTCCATCAATCATTGTACGCAATGCCCACCACAGTCTGCCCTGAAACCAGGGCATATTTCTCCAATATAATGTTTACCCTTTTCCCGACTCCAGCCCATGCCTAATTTTGGTCACTAGAAGATGGAGTTTCCCCCTCACTCACTCCACTGTACATCTCTGTTATTTTACCAGTCCCAATGTACTCCATGTGAGACTTAATGCTAAGACCTACACTTTAGATCTTATTGGCTCAAGTGCCTTTAATGTAGTGAGAAAAAGTTAGGTAACTGCAAAAACTAAAACATTGTTTACTTTCATAATATAGCACTTGCAGTGCATAAAAAACTGACCCTAGACTCTTACAGATACTGGTTATTACAATGACATCTTACATTCATTGAACACTATCAAAGGACTCTTTACTTTTGATGCATTACCTCATTTAACTCTCATAAATGAGGTAAGTACTATTATTATATATGTTCTATAGATAAAAGGAATAGATTTAGGAAAATTAAGTAACTGATGTTGATCTAACATTTTGTCCTCCACTGCAGAATTCGTATGTGAATCCTAATTCCCAAAGTCATGGCTTTGGAAGGTGGAGTTTCTGGGAGATGATAAGCAGGACCCTCATGAGTACAACTACTGTTCTTATAAGACCCCAGAGAGCTCCCTTGTCAGTTTCACCATGTGAGAAGTGCAATGAGCATGTCTATGAACCAGGCATCAGGTCTCTTCAGACATCAAGCTGCTGGCACCTTGATCTTGGACTTCCAGCCTAAGAAATAAGTCCCAGCTCTATGGTATTCTGTTACAACAACTCAAATGGGCTAAGACACCAACCAAGATTGTATTAGTGATTAAGTGGTAAAGATAGAATACAAGCCAGGTGTCTGGCTCCAATGCCTAGGTTTTTAACTATTCTTATATAAATTATTTATACACACAAACACACTTATTTCCTATGCCAAAATTTCTTCCTTATAAAACTATGCAATGTATTGACTCTCCTGGAAATACCGGTGTTGACATTTGGGATTCTGATTATTCACAATAAACCTCAAAGTTCCATGATGCATATTTGCCATTTTGCTGAGTCCTGATTTTAATCTTGATAACCATGAGCTCCTGGAGGGAGAGGGTAAAGAATCTTTCAAGACAAAGAGAAACAAGAACAATGAGGTGGTTGTGGATGCAATCGAGAAAGCTGTTTGTCCTCAGCCATAAAAATAAAGGACCTGGGCCTCGCTGGTGGCTCAGGGGTTAAGTCTCAGCACTATCAAACTATCGCCAATTATTGCAGCATGAGTTCCATCCCTAACCAGAGAGCTAACCCACATCACACAACAGACCTCTCCTGTCTTGGCTGCTGCTCCCCTCAGCAGTGTATTTCAGTAGATCTGCTTGTTATGCTCCCCATTCTGTCTCTGGTGAATCCTCTCACCCCCCACACCTCTGGCCTACACCCCAGTTCTTGTATGCATAAATAAGTAAAATAAAAAAATAAATCTTTAAAAATTAAGGACCTCTAAAATGAAGGCATGAATAGCAGTGACGGTGGCCCCGACAGGGAAGACTGGAGCACTGTTCACTTCACCACCTCCTGCATGACTGCAGAGAGCACCCCATGAATTCAGAGATTTCTCATTTTTACAGCCTCCAGATTTTATTCTGAGCAAATTTCTATCTCTTCCCCAGAGTCAAGTAGATCTTGACAGCAACTGTCAAATTTGTTTGGCAGAAATGTTGATGACATTCTCTTCTGCCCACCCACCAAAGAACTTTTTTTTTTTTAAAGATTTATTTATTTTTGCATACAAGATCTGGGGTGTAGGCCAGAGGTGCAGGGTAGTAAGAGGATTCACCAGAGACAGAGTGGCGAGCAAAACAGGTCGACGTACTGAAATACACTGCTGAAGGGAGCAGCGGGTGAAGCAGGAGAGGTCTGCTACTCCATGTGGGTCAGCTCCTTGGCCGGGGATCGCCACCAGGGAGGCCCTATCAAAGAACTTTTTAAGCTTTTTTTTTCAGGATCCCAGAGATGGGAAAAATGGGCTGCATCTCATGGCCCAATGAGAAAAGCATATGCCTCCATCTTGAAAGGTGGTCTGTCTGTCAGTCTCTTCCTTAACTAGCCTACTGGAACTTTCATAAGAGCTTTGAGGGCATTTGCTTTTATTACCTGAGTGAGGTAGAATTCATAAGGGAAATATGGAGCCCTGGAGCAAAACCAGCCTTGGAAATACTCACATTCTCACAGAGGGTGGCAGCCCACGACTTCTGTTACGTGTCTGGGGTTCGACTTGCTTCACCTCCCCTTTTAGTTCCTTCAGTATAACAAAATCTTCACTAACAAAATCTGTAGGCGGAGAAAAAAAATTCTTTCAGAGGTAATACTTTTCATAGAGCTTGTGACAAAAAAAGTTATAAAATAAGATGTGAATTTCAACACTAGATCTGTTAAGACAAGCTGTGCCATTTGGGATTCCTCCCTTTAACCTCTCTGAGCCTCATGTCCCCATCAGTGAAATAACAAAGTCATAGAATTCCCTAAGGCAATTAGCATCAGAGTAATTTCAAAAGTCTTTTTTTTTTTTCCCTGTGCCCACATACGCACATTTGTTTGGCAATGAGTTATTCTCTGACTTATGGGCAAGAACTGTACCTTTCTGAGTTTCAGTTTCCCCATCAGGCACTATGTTAACAAAGACCTTATTTTTTTTTTTTTAAAGATTTGTTTATTTATGCATACAAGAGCTGGGGCACAGGCCAGAGATGTGGGGAGTGAGAGGACCCTCCAGAGACAGAGTGGAGAACAGAACAGACTGACTGACTGAAATATACTGCTGAGGGGAGCAGCAGGTGAGACAGGAGAGGTCTGCTGTGCCATGTGGGTTTCTCCCTGGCTGACCGGGGATCAAACTTGTCCTGCAGAGGCCTTGGATTGCTTCACAGTGCGGTGCTCAACCCCTCGTGCCACCAGGGAGGCCCAAAGACCTTATTCTTCACCAAGAATACTCAGCCACTGCCCTCCAGAAGTTTACTGTGTATGAAAGCCAAATATCTTCCTGGGTAATACTTTAGGTTTTATGATTTTGTGAGTCTATGCTTAGAAGCATTTTGGGGCTCAGCATCTTCTACAACTAAGAATAGTACTAAGGGAAATGGTTGTATTTCAGAGATGCTCCTCAGAATTCCTCCCTCTGCAATGACAGTTCCCTCTGCTTCCCCAGTAGGTGATTGAGAAGCAGACCGCAGGCAACAGAATCTTGCGGACCTCAGTTAGGGGAAGGAAAGATAACAGGCTCAAGTGCTAGCTGCGTGAGTTCTTCAAGGGGTGAATTAGTCCTGGCTTCCTTTCTGAAAGGAAATTGTAAAACATAGAAGTTTTATCATGATTCCCCAGACATTTATCAGTATCTCCAAAATAACAGTGTCTTTGATCTTGGGGTATTGAAATAAAGCCCCCAGCCCATTCCATGGAAGATGTGGAAACAGGAGTCTTTGACTTTTCTGATGTGATGTTGGGTTTCGTGGGGCCATGCATTCCCTCATGCTTTTACTCCTTTAAATCAACACAGTATGTCTGTGACACACAGCCCACTGGAGAGAAGTCTGGGCCAGTGGAACCTTCTTAAAAAAGCTCAGACCTGCCACTGTGGTTGCATCAGCACCAGGGTCTAATTTAGCAACATTAGGTCAAATGTGACGACGCAGGAATTAAGGTAGATGCCTCCTCCTCTGCCTTGTAATCCAGGATAGATAAAAGGAGACTTCTCCCATAATTCCCTGAGCGCGCGCTCACACACACGTACATATACTTGCCCGTGTACATGCATGCATGTGACGGAAGCTCAGAGTAGAAAATTTTAGAATGGAAGTTTTCACAAGGTCAAAAACCAGAAGTGCGAGCAGAAAAGACTATCAGCTGGCTACAGAAAATCAACGAAACCTGGCACAAAATAATTTCATCAAAGGGAAATATATAAGGATTCCCTTTGCTCTAGCAAAATGCAGATCTTGCCATAGATTGTCCACCTATGTCTGTTCAGGCATCTCTTTATCCTAATAAAACAGCTCTTTTCAAAACACACTCTTCCCACTTGGGTCTTTGCAGGCATCCTTTTTTCTCTTTTTTCTTTTTCTTAGAAACTTACCATGTGCTGCTGAACCAGGATAGTCTACTGAATTCTTTTTTAGAGAGACAGTCTCAGAGGAATGCAAGAACCCCAATACACACACACAAGCACACACACGCACACACACGCACACACTCATGTCAGTTACAAAATAAAACTGAATCCTTCTAGAACCCCCAAGAGAGCATGCTCACTCAGCTCCTTTCTGGGCATGACTACTGCTGGGGTGAGCAGCAGTCCTCCCTAACAGTTACACCACTAACAAGCTCTGCAATCAGGCAGAACTCAGGCTATCTCATCCCCAACAACTATGCCCAAGGCAATTTGCTTCAAGTTCTTGCTCTCAACCTTGATCTCCCTTAGAGAGAATGAATCGAGTGCATGCAGTGGCTCTGAGGCTGGCTGTGAGCTGAGGTAAGAAGGGACAGTTACAGAGTAGAGCACAGAGCAGGAGCTCGGGGTCAGCTGTCTGTTGTCCTCACTATTCAGATGGTCCTACATGGAGCAGGGATTCCAGAATGCACTATTTCTGATGATTCCTTATTTCACAACTAACCAGGACAAGCTTTCTTCTGAAATTTACTTGGGGCCTTCTCTTTTTAAATACTAATTTTAATCATTAAAATATGTATTTATTACAGAAAATTGGAACACCTAATGGTGTAAAGAAATAGTAAGTTGTTCTCCCCTCAGTACATATTCTTTGAAACATTTCAACATGTACATATACACACACACATTCATGAGAGAAAATACACACACACACACACACATTTCAAACAAAGCTTAAGCTTTGTATTATTTTGACTTCTCAACTGCTTTCCTGGGAGAAGAGATAAAAGGGAAGAGTGAGAGAGTGAGCCCCACATATCAATACAGGCAGTTGTCCCATAGCCAGCATCTTCTTCCTGAGAATGTTCTAGTAACAAACACTAGTGTGACAACACCCCACGACTGCTCCCCTTCACATTAGTAACAATAAACTTTTACAATTAAATATCCAGGAAGATAAAAATAATCATTGCTGTTGTGGGAGCAAAAAACTCTAGAACAAGAGTAGTTGAGAAGAGGAAGGAGGGAGGCCTTAGAAAGAGATGTCATCATCTCCCTCCCCCCAAAAAATCTGTTTGGTCTTGACTCACTCATTTCTTAAATCATATCGATACTTGCCATACATTCAACTGGGGCCCTTTCTCTGGACCCTAGTCCCCAGGGAAAATCTGGACAGCAAGGAAGCTGAGCAGAACCCCATTAGTTGCCAGCTGTGCCCACACCTCACACATTTCAGCTTATCTGAGCAGAGCCCAGGTCTGCCCAAAGCCTTTGCAGGCTTGGGATGCTATCTAATCCATGCTTCTTTCTTTTCCTTTAAAAAAGGAGAAAGACTTTGGCATTATCAAAATTGCACAAATATCATGTGGAAGGGAAGAAAGTAATTAAAGGGCCTCTCTGGTGGCGCAGGGGGTTAAGCACAGCACTGTGAGGCTGTCCACGGCCTTTGCACCCACATGCACAGCAGACCTCTCCTGCCTTGCCCCCTGCTCCCCTCAGCAGTGTATTTCGGTACAGCTGCCTGTTCTGCTCCCTGCTCTCTCTGGTGTATCTTCTCAATCCCTGCAACTCTGGCATGTACCCCACTTCTTTAAAAAAAGAAAAACAAACAAACATGATAAAAGCCATTAAATACAAATTGCCCTACTTGTTGCTAGTACAAGTTGCTAGTATTGTTCAAACAATAAGGCAAGACTGGAGCAATAATTAGCATAATCCCATCTAACATGTGAACCACTTGTTCTTGCTGGTAAGAGTAAATTGGATTTGTGAGAGCTGATATGTGGCCAGCAATAATGCTGGCATCCTGGCTCTTTTTAGGGTCCCTAACTTTACCTCAGCTTTAAGCTTCAATGTCAGATCTGTTTTCTAGGAAAATCTTGGACACCGTTCCCTGTGGAAGAATCAAAAATAAACATCATAGCATACTCAGGATTTCTCTGATGTGTCAGATGTCTTTGTAACCCTGGGGATGGGAAATTGGGTGCGTATGAAGGGGAATAGTAGTACCAGGAGTTTGTGTGTCTTTATTTTTATATCTAGGCATTTCTGTTAAAAGCAAGATTCTAATTCTGAAAGAGTTTTCTACTGCATGTCCCCACAAAAATAATCTTAGCAGAATGTACTGCGGCCTACCCAGTTTCTAAGAGGGCAAAGATGAGATTGCATTAACAGTTTTTCCTCTCTTATTCCCAATGCCCTCATACACATAGCACACATTGAATAATGAATGAACGAATGAATGAATGAACAGTTTCCTGAGTGTTAAGGTCAACAATGAAAGCAGAGTGGAAAAAGTAGTGTATCGTGATTGGTTCTTTTAAATAAAATATTTTAAAAATTATGTCTATCATTGATTTTGGCTTCATTGCTCCTGTTTCATGCTTTTTTTTCCTCAACCAGTGGTTGAGATAGATCCTTGGACACCATTTTTTCACCCCATTATTTGATATATGAGGAATCTAATACCTAAAAATGTAAAGTTACTTATTTGGGAAAACACACTAGTCAGTTTTGTGGTATTGTACAACATTAAATCTATATAAATTGGCTTTCTGTGACAGCAGAAAGCATTGCCATAGATTCTAGGTTGCTTCTAATCACCAGAATATTCAAGTTATGAGAAAACAGTGCTCCTCACTATGCTGGCTAGTGGAGAATTTATATACTGTGGTCTCATCACATCTTAAATACCAATGGATTGTAAGACATAATTATTTTACTATTAAAAAAAATCAAACTGCAAACACAACATTGTCCACTGCTTAAAGATTTCCCATGATATACCTATTGAAAGAGTTATTTTAGATTCATTTATGCATTTAAAAACTATCAACTTTCTTCATATTTTAGATCAAAAATATAAACAAAGCAAATTAATTATGGTTTTCCTAAAATTTCTACAGTTTCAAGGGCTGATGTTTTCATACTACATTCAAGTTCCATCCATGAGAGGCAGCCTTTCCACAACACTGTCACTTGTGCTTCAAAAGCATCCATGATACAAACAGAAAAAGAAGTTCTCTAGTAGCCTCTGGTATTTTCTCCCACACCCCTGTTAACCTGTCTGTGAACTTCTGTGTTAGTCCACTTAATTGGCCAATGTGATCGGCATCCCCTGTGTCAGAGGGGGCCCTGCCTTCCACATGGAAGTGTCCTTCAGGTCCCAGAAAGTATTTGGGGCTTGCTTTGCATGAACAAAGGAATTACAACCCTTTCTAAAATGAGTCATTTTTTCCTAATTCCAAATGTGTGTTCCACTTCTCTGCTTCCTTGTCTTTCTTTGAACCCAATAACTTTGTGATTCAATGCTGCATCATAGTGTAATCAGAGATTTCGTAAGCTCACTTTAAACCATTAAACACATGACCACAGCAATTCACATCATCCCATTGAAATGGCCGAGATATGCAGGTCTATGGCCGCGTTTGCTTGTGTAAAACCATGACATCGTCCCTAGGACTGCTACATGGCCCACGATGATAGAACAATCACACTGATTATAATACACATCCTGATTTCTGCTACATTCAAATGTGGCAGGGGAGGGGAGTAGGATCAGGGGATGTTACCCTAGAAATTATGAAATATAGAAATAGTTTGAAATAGTTTTAACCTGTGTCAGGGTTTCTCCTTAAGAAGGCTTTGTTCCAGCTCATTAAGATGGGATTTGACATTCCACTTAAAATTACTAAAGAGCCTCAAAAGCCAAAGAAAAGGCAAGGTGGTTTTTCAAAGATATTTGCAAGTCAATACTAGCAGCATAGCTCAACACTTGCTGAACATTAGACTCAACTGAGGAATTGGAAAAAAACAATAACAACCCCAACAAAACAAAAATCCCCCACATTTGCCCCATGCAAATTAGATCAGAATCTCCAGAGGTAGGACCCCAGAAAGGAGTAATTTTGAAAAGCTCTCTTGGAGGTGCAAGCCAGCATCGAGGAAGGGAAAGGCTGATGGGAAGAAAAGGGATCTCCCAGGTCCAGAAAGCCGAATTAGTAGTGTGTCCAATGCACAACCTGGAGCAGTCTTCCTGAGAACATCTTCCTTGAGAACATCTGGGTGCATCAGCATGTGGGTCTAGAATTTATTTCATTGGGCATATTTGATGTGGACACCATTTTTTTCTCTTTCCTATTTTTTCTTTTTTTTTTTAAATCCTCTTGGCAATCTTGCTGCACAGATCTATTTTAGCACCACTGCACACTGAGCCTTTAAACCTTTCAAACTGTGTTATTCAAAACCATGAATGCCCTATCATGCGTAGAAAATAGACTTTCCAGAATTCTTGAACTGGAATCCTGGCTGCAGTGGCTTCCCAGTCCTTCCTGCCCCTCTGGTGGGCTAGTCACGTGGCCTCTAACTTCTCTGTCTCACTCCAAGACATCTTCCACCCTTAGTCTGGCTCCCTGGAAGGTTGGGGACAAGAGCTGAGGCTCCTTCTCTAAGATTCCTGTCTCATTTAGTCAAGTCTCCTGTTAGATGCAGACAACACACCCTGTGGCAGGACTGGACTTCTGCAACGGGGACCACCATTCAGAAGTGACTGCTAGTCACTTCACAGGGTACATTACTTTCCATTTTATAAATATTGATTTCTGTCTATCAAGGGTTTTTCCATAAAGGAACGATCTACTTTTTACAAAGGTCCCAGTCTCCTCACCCCTACCCCTTTAGCAGTCTACACTTTTGTTTCTGTTCTGTTGGTTTCTGTTTTAAGCTTACAAACCCTGCATAATTAGGAGAGAGGAAGCAATTGGATTGGGAGTTATTAGGCAGGAAAGAGGAGATTCAGCTTGGAAATAAGGGGAATGGTTTAAAATTCATTCCCCAAGTACCATTTGATAGGTGTTCAAAGAACACAGCCTATAGTGGTCTTTGGTTTTAAACTTACATTGAAATTTTGATGGTGCAGATGCTCTTAGTATCTGCACATTTTATTGTGATTTTGAGAGTATAATTTAAATAATGATCTATTTAAGATAATCAAATAATCCTTTCACTTGAAGGTGATCTATTTCTCTGTCTTTGCATGAGATCCTTGATCAGGGGTGAGTCTTTCTTTTTCTTTTCTCTTAATGGGCTCAGGGCGGGGGTGGGGGGTGGGGGCTGGGAGAGGTTGTGTGTGTGTGTGTGTGTGTGTGTGTGTGTGTGTGTGTAGCCTTGTTTTCATGATACAAATAAACTAGACTTTGTGGTATCTATCACAAAAAGAAAAAAGAAAAATCTGTTACTTGAAATCTCTTCTTCTTACTCTTCTTCACACTCAGATGAATTTTTTAAACAACCCAGGATTTTAGAAGAACTATATTTCATGTGTCTGAAGCATAGTAAGTTATATTTTGCAATGCATTCTTACTCTATAAAGTTATATATAATGTGCTTTAAATTTTGAAAGGCATGTGGGGGTATACATGTTGCTATCACATATCTTATGATATTGTGCAAATTGTTTAATCTCTTCAGGGGTCAGTTTCCTCACTGATAAAAAGAGATAATTATAACATCATCCTTATTAGTTTTTGTGAAGATTACAATGAATGTAAAGAAGGTGCTAATTGATGGGCACTTAATTTGGTACACATTAGAGGAGAGATGTTATTTTTATGACTTTTGTTACTATCATCCAAACAATTTCTTTATCTTCATCCATTTCTCACCTGACATGCTATTTAGGTAAAAAGAATGTACACAGTAGATTTTTCCATACCTTAAAATTTTCTCTCTTACGGAGAAAGAAAAATACCAAATGATTTTACTCCTATGTGGAATATAGAGAAATAACACAAAGCAACATAGACACTAAACCAAAACAACTCTAGAAATTGGACTGTAGAATTGAAGCTGCTAGAGGGGGAGGGTGGGAGTTAGGAGCAAAGGGGGCAGAAACCCAACAGGCTGCGGTGGAGGACTCTGGGTATTTTGGTGGTGGGAGTGGTGTGGTAACATAAATCTGAAGAGGTGTAAACCTGTACCTCTAAATCATACAGAGTTGTAAACCAGTGTTACTTCACTCAAGATATTATAATCCAAAAAAAATAAAAGAATTTAGTCTTTCAGGTAAATATGATGAGTACGGGGGCTGTTCACAGTCTTTGGCTGTTTTCATCACCTTGCAATGATACTGCATCCCCACTTTCTAGAATTGTGACTCTGTTTTCTGATTCATACTTAGATTTCTGAATGAACTAAGAACTCCTTCTCTGAGGTTCTATCCTCAAAGGACCCTGAAAATTCTTATCCCAGGGTTATAAAATAAAGGTCTATGAGTAACACCTGGCTTAGAGATTTCTATCATTTGGCCTGACTTTTTAAAAAATTTTATTTAGTTTCTAAATTTACCTAAATTTAAATAAATATTACATAAATATCTTGAAAAGCAAGACTTTTGATGGGATCCTAAAAAGAGAGGCAAAATTCATAAAGCACAATTAGCCTGTCTTTGAACCTGGATATTGTCCTGCCTAGAGACTGTCCAATTTGATACAAAACACCAAGTGATTCCTAAGGATTTTGGTATTTCCTTTCTTGTGTGTTCACTAGAGTCCTTTCCCCATTTTTGATCTTCAGAATTCTCTAATATTAATTCCACTTTACTTTCACGTTGCAATTTGTGATTTTCACACTTCATTAGTTTGCATGTCAACTTTATAATAGCCTACCAATATATCAGTAATACTATAGCATATAAGAAAATTAAGAAACCAAGAAGTTCAATGACCTGACAATGCTCCCTTTGTTGAGAAAATTAGGAATGGAACTATTTACATTTCCCATGTTCTCTCCCATACTTATTGCTACCAACACCACCATGGAGTTCAAAATAGCTTTGTTTATAACAAGGAGGTAGTACATAGCTAAGAAAAAAATCCCTAGA